ATCCAATGAGTTTTAGATCAAAGTCCAATTTTTGCATAATGTCTGGTTTTTGCATAAATGTCTAGTTTTCCAATATACAAATTGTTTTTTAATATAAAGTTTATTTTTGTAAAAGTTTTAGTTTTGCACAAATGTCTGGTTCTTCAAAGTCTAACTATATAATTTTTGTAAAATGTTTATTTTTACATATATGTCAAGTTCTATACAAATGTCTAGTATTTGCAAAGTCAATATGTGTCTATTTTTTGTACAAGTGTCTATTTTTTTTTGTAAAGTATATAATGTCTATTTTTTGCACAAATGTCTAATTTTCTAGTTTTATGCAAAATGTCTACTTTCTGCAAAGTCCAAATTATAAACTTAATTATTGTATAATGTCTAGTTTTGCACAATTAAATAAAATATAAGTCTTGTGTATTTTTTTCACAGTATTTATATTAAACGCAATATGTATGGTAATTGTACAGTGATGAGGGATATGATTTAAAACATGGTCGAAATTGATATTGGTAGAATCTTCCTCTGTTGTTAGATATATTACTTTTCTGGTCAGTTCTTGGGAAGAGTCTATAAATTGGCGAAGTACAGATGGAATACACTGACCAATAAATATAAAGATAGGATTCTTTTTAATAATATTGGTATATGTATTACTCGAGTTGGTGAGCGGGAACCAACGTGACAGCAATGGTTGTCTCGTTTTCCATTCAAGGGCACAATCGATTCTCTCATCCTTATCGATGAAACAGGAATAAAGTTTAAGATGCTTGGAATGTCTTTTAGCGAGTATAAAATAGTGTTTTTGATTTTTTTTTTTTTTTGATTAAAATATGATAACATTAGCAAAGTTTTATTTATAAAATCTTTTCTCAAAATAGATGATAATAACCTTAAAACATTGGGTATTTGCTGTGAAGTAAATTTCTCGTTTAAAATTATAATGAGAACATCCGCTTCTGAGCAAAGAAAAGTCTTGCTGTCTATCAAACTATTAGTAGATGTTATGCTCCTCACAACATAGTTATCATTGTTGATAAGGTTCATATTTGTCACATAAATACCCTCATATTCTTTATCGTAACCATGTTAGTATATCAGTGATAATATATTTATGTCATTATCTTTCAGTTACATTGTTAAAATTTATAATGTTAACATGACTTATATGCTTGTATTTCATAAATGTTAGTATGGACGTTAATATGATACAGGTTATCATAAAGAATATTATTTAATCTATATGTCTAATGGTTCATAGGAAATAAAACCATATCGTATAGTGGGTGTTAAAGACACAACACGAGCACTAGTGCTAAGAGAAGGATATTTGTCCTCTCAGATATCATTGGTACAAGATGAAGAAAGGTACGAGAAAATATAATAGACGGTGCAAGCAAATAGTGTCCTCATCACTACAGACAGATATCTTGGAACATGGAATTAAACGTAATAAAAGATCGAAAAAATAAACACAGAAATGGATTGGGCGTATGAAGTAATTAAATTCTCAACATCCGCTTCTGAGCGAAGATAAGTCTTGCTGTCTATCAAACTATTAGTAGATGTTATGCTCCTCACAACAAAGTTATTATTGTTAAGGTTCATATTTGTCATATAAATACCCTCATGTTCTTTATTGTAACTATGTTAGTATATTAGTGATGATAATATATTGATATCGTTATCTTTCAGTTACATTGTTAAAATTTATAAGGTTAACATGACATATGCTTGTATTTCATAATTGTTAGTACGGACGTTAATATGATACAGGTTATCATAAAGTTAATCTATATGTCTAATGGTTCATAGATGTTTATGTTATCCTAGTCCATAGGAAATAAAACCACATCGTATAAAGCAGTCTTGAAGCACCAAATAGATACTCGTTGTAAGGAGAATACTCTATCTTATGATGCTTATTTTTAATGTAGAACAATAGTTTCATATAATAACATCTACCTTTATTATTGTCGCGTATAATACCCTGTCCTTTCATATAAATATGATTTCTGTTTGGTATTAGAAATGCAACACGGTTGGGTGTTAAAGACACAACACGAGAACTAGTGCTAAGAGAAGGATATTGTCCTCTCAGATATCATCGGTATAAAATGAAAAAAGGTAACAAGAGAAAATATAATAGACGGTGGAAGCAAATAGTGTCCTCATCACTACAGACAGATATCTTGGAACATGGAATTAAACAAATAACTTCCCCACAAAATGGATTTAAATTTTAAAAAAAATATGGAACAGAAATGGTTTACCGACACAGATCAAGACAATGAACATGTACCACCGTTTGAACCGTTACAACAAGAGGATATTCAAGTATTACAACAACAAACACCGATTACCCAAACAACAGGTATTTTGCAGCAAGAAGAAGCTCAACAACAGTATGGTGATATCAGAGGATCTTACCGAAATGATGATGATTTTCAAATATTACATATACCATCACAACAACAACTGTCGTTTATAGCAAAACAAGATGTGTCATCGACTGAACAAACAACAGACAGTTCACAACATCATGGTCCACCGACTACCCAAACAACATGTATTTTGCAGCAAGAAGAAGCTCAACAACAGTATGGTGATATCAGAGGATCTTACCGAAATGATGATGTATTCAAATATTACATATACCATCACAACAACAAACTGTCGTTTATAGCAAAACAAGATGTGTCATCGACTGAACAAACAACAGACAGTTTACAACATCATGGTCCATTGCAACAATGCAGTGACTCTCAGGACTTGAATATGACGGACAAATCGATGCAACAAGATGAAATTCAAACATTGATCAAATCAAAACAAAATATCATGAATAAGATATTATGTAATCAAAAAATTTGGGAGAAAATCATACTCTTAGCATTTCAAAAGAAAATGAATAATATATTAGAAGATAGCAAAGATGAAAACTATTTATATATCTTTTAAGGATAAATTCAATAAAAACAAACATTATGTGTCTGTGGCTATGGAATCCACTTCTTTAGATGAAAATAAAGAAAAAACAATCCCAGAATCGATACACAGATTCCTAGAGGAAAATAAACTGAATACGAATGAGAGACTAAATACATATCTATGTGGTCAAGTATATACTGTAAAATATATGATGGTAGAGATTATAAACCTAATAGGTAGGGTGGTATATCTTAGAAAATATGGATCCTATATCACAATTGTTGTAAAGTTTTTGAAAAACAACGAGGATTTTTTTGTTTATAATATGAGCACAAGAGATGAAAAGCAACAAACAGAGTATCCTATAAAACAGGATACTTATAATATACTTTATAAAATGAATTATATAAAATAACTAACTCACAATGAGGAATCTAGTATATAAGTTTGTTATAACAACATAAGGAAAACTATATAATTTTATGGAATACTGTATATAGTTTTGTAACCCTGTCTTATATAAATTTCTATATGTTAATATATCTACTAATAAATTTTATCAAATTCATCGTTTATTAATTTTATTCTATTTTAAAATAATCTCAACCATATTATTGGTATGGCTCTATATAATAATACATATGTCTGCAAACAATAGAAATGGTGATATCATGATCAGAAAGAAAACAATACCAAAGTCTTGAGTTTGATACCACAGGACCGAAGCTCGACTATGATCTAGTTTATTCTTGCAGTTATAATGATGCACATGTTATAAATATATAGTGATAATGAACAATATATATATATATATATATATATATATATATATATATATATATATATATATATATATATATATATATATATATATATATATATATATATATATATATAAGATAAAGTAGAAAAAATGAACAAGGAAATACAACGATTGAAAACATTTGATGATGACGAAGATAAATATGCCTATCATCCAAAAGTGATTGCAAAAGCTGGTTTTTATAAAGTCGAAAACGAATTCATCTGCTTCAATTGTAACTTGAAGCTTAGTGCTAAAGATATTGATACAGGGAAGAATATTGTGGAGATCCATCAAGATAGAGATGCATCATGTACCTTTGCACATAATTTGCCTTTCCTTCCGAGATCAAGATTATATAAAGATGGTGATAAGGAATTAAGATACGAAATGAAGAGATTAGAAACTTTTATAAATTGGCCCGGAGATGGAAAAATAATAACATTGAGAGATTTAGCCAATGCTGGATTTTATTATTCAAGAAATGCTTACATATGCATATGTTTTTACTGTAACATGTTTATATCGTTTCACCCATATATAAAATATAATCTATATACATATGGGTATATATAAATATTTTCAAAGAAAAAACAAGGAATATTGTCACAATTGTGATTGGGTACAGGGTAAGCCAGTTGGCAATGTACCTATTGTAGAAGATAAGATACTAAAAAAAATCTTAGGACGTTACTCTATATATCCCTTAGATGGATCTTTACTGAGGTACATTTCTGGTAATAGTAATAATCTTCGGTCACACGATAATACAACAAAAAATGATAAAAAATTATCGAATATGAATATTCAACCATATCATAGACCAATTCATAAGAAATACGCAACAGAGGAATCTCGGAGATCCACATATTATGATAAGGATAATTGGCCTCTTAAAGATCAATCATTCGTAGAGAAATTAGTAGAAGCAGGATTCTATTATACAGGTAAGTAATTTTCATATATATATATAAAAAATAAGAGTAGCAAGTGTCGAGGTAGTGATCGTGTTTATTAATCTGTCAAGTTATTTTCAGGTTATGGTGATCGTGTTCATTGTTTTCATTGTGATGTTTATATTTTTAATTGGGAAGAGGACGATGACGATCCATGGATACAACACGCTATGTGGAATCCTAATTGTAGTTATATTCAATTAAAAATGGGGGAAGATTGGGGAGATTTCGTCAAAAAGGTATGATATTATTGTAATAATATATTCAAATACAATATATATATATATATATATATATATATATATATATATATATATATATATAATACAATATAATCCATTATTATAATTTTTTTTACAGACGATGAAGATAAAGGAAAATTTGTATAGAACGCCTGCTATTAAGACCAGAAGCAATATAACGGAAATAGACTGGAATACTCTTCTAGGCTTGGATTTCACTAAAGAATTACTATTATCAGACTTCCCGACTAGGGCTGTTAGAGACGCCCTTGAATTACAGATTTTGCTGAAGAAAACACCTTTCATATCCAGAAATGACTGTATTAATACTGTACGAGACTGTATAATAAAATATGGTCATTTTTCTTACGCAGTAATATGAAAATAGAAAGCATCAGAAATTATCATGCTCTATATTCAGTATCAGCATTCTTGGATGATATAAAAAAAATGCAATCGAAAATGGAAATTAATAGGAAACATTCTATTGATAAGTTTAAGCAAGATGACTCACTTTGTGTTATTAAACAGTCCAAATATGACTCTTCCATTATATCGCTATACCGCTACCGGTATTCGTTCACTCTTCCATATCCAGAGTACTCTTTTGATGGTAGATTTTATATTGAATATACCACGGTATTATCTAGACTTAACCATGCGACAGATAGTGTCCCAGTTATAGATTCGGCTTTTTCCAAGCAAACTGATAGTTTTTCTTTATTTACAATATGGGAGAAATTAATTTTCTATTATAGAAAATATAATAAATCTCTTGATAGTTTTCCATTTACATGGAAACTTTGGCCAGTTCCTTTAAAAGAATGATGATAATGAAGATAATAATGCTAGTAATAACGATAATAATGATGACATTAATACAAATATTGATAGTAATAATAATAATAGTAGTAGTAATAGTAGTATTAGTAGTGATAGTAGTACTAATAGTGATTATGAAGATAGTAATGCTATTATCAGCAAAATAATCAAACATTCACCAAAAAAACGCTCAAGTGATGAAAAAGGATCATCTTTTACAAAAAAAAAAAATAAATGGTAAGTATATAGGTAATGGATTATATATATATATATATATATATATATATATATATATATATATATATATATATATGTGTGTGTGCGTTTAAGATTAATATGATATTTTTTTCTCATTTCAGATACCCCAAACCAATATGAAGATAAACAAAAATGTAATGTCTGTCTAACTGCTATTAGAGACATACTTATATTTCCATGTAGACATTTAGTTTTCTGTAGCAATTGTATTGTAACTCAAAGAAAATGTCCCATATGTAGAGAGAAAATCTTATATTTGTAAAGTCTATAATTAATAAACAGAGGGGTGGAAAAAGTGAAAGGGAGAGTATAGTATATTGACAGAGGTTGGTTTTTTATTATATATGTAGTATAAATTAAGTGTAGATATATAATGTTGAGAAGAAATAATTAGTAATTGTGAGAAAAATAGAAAATGTCTCAAAAAATGAACAATATGTATTGTGATGATGACCAACCTATGATTACTCTTCAAGAAAAACTATTACTAGCAAAAGCTGGTTTTGTACAATATGATTCATCATCTAAATTTGTAACATGTAATGATTGTTATTTACATCTTGAGTTAAATACTCTCAAGAAATCAGACGACATTGTGAAAATACATAAAGAGATGAGCCCTTATTGTCAACTTGCACAGAATTTACCTCCTCCCAAGATCCAAATCTTTTATTATTGATTCGGCAACGAGTATGCCGAAAGACTTAAGATATGAGATTAAAAGGTTAGAAACCTTTATAGACTGGCCAAACAAATTTGTACAACCCAAGGACTTAGCAGCTGCCGGCTTTTATTATTCGAGAAGTGCAACTTGCTGTATCTGTTTTTATTGTCACAAACATGTCATATTTTCTAACGATGAACCAATAAATTTGCAATTGCAAAAGAAACATATCGACTGTAAGATTACACAGGGTAAACCTGTCGGTAATATACCGATATATATGAGCGATATTATAAATAAGATTAAAACAACTCGGAAAACAACAGTGGTTAATAAGAATGTAAACCAGTCTCTTGAAGGTATATATTTATACACGTATTAGCTGATTTAGTCTGTCTATACATATATATATATATATATATATATATATATATATATATATATATATATATATATATATATATATATATATATATATATATATATATATTACTGATGATTTTATCATTTATGTTTCAGATGGGGCTCCAAGAAATAGTATTAGTGCGACACGAATGCAGAGTTGGAAAGAGCGATTGGAAAGTTTTAAAATCTGGAAATATTATCATAAATATAATGGACCATTATATGATAGTTATATAACAGCAAATGAACGATTCGAGAGTTTTAAAAATTGGCCTATTAGCACATACCAGAATCCAGAAAAATTGGTAAAAGCCGGATACATACTATATATATATATATATATATATACATATATATATATATGTATATAGATATCCACGTGTGTATTAAAAGTAAACAATAATGTTTAACGTTTTTCATCTTATAGGAATTAGTGATCATGTTTCATGTTTCCACTGTGGTGTCGGTCTTCGCAATTGGGAAGATGATGATGATCCGTGGAAATTACACGCCATATGGTCTGCCTCGTGTCATTATGTTTACTTGCAGAAGGGAGAAGCATTCATCAATAAGGTAAATACGTAACATGATACAAAAATGTCGATATTCCAAGATATATATATATATATATATATATATATATATATATATATATATATATATATATATAGTTTATATTATAATTATGAATAAACAAAACTTTTGATTTTCAGGTTAGGAGAGAATCTAACATGCCAATATCCGGTAGTGTTGATACCTCACGGAGCACAACCTGAATCATCCAGTATCTAGTAGTGTCAATGCCGTCACGGAACACGATTGGAATCATCTTTTGGGTCTGGATTATACCAGAAAAATATTAATGCTAGGTTTTCCCACCGTTGCCGTTAGAGATGCACTCCGAGATCAAGTTATACAAACTGGTATACCTTTTTCAAGTGAAGTTGAATGTATTTCAGCTGTAAGGAAAAAAATAGAATCGAAAAAATACAGACTATACCACTGAATTGAGTATGGGAATGTATCGCAAACTATCGCGCAGTGTATACCGTAATGTCTTTTATAAAAATGATCAGAAAGAAATTTATTTCTACTACCATTAATGACGATGACGACTATCCTGATGATTCCGTTTATCTATATAAACAACCAATATTCAACCCGGATGCAGACTCCAATAATCCAATGTATCGTCATGAAATCTCCTTTAATCTTCCTTATCCCAATCTAACATATCATCTCGAAAGCGAATATCGTATTACATTGGATGAACTCAACAATTATGAGATTACTTCTCGAATAAGTTCGTATCTTGATAGATATCAGACTGCCCCCTTAATAACAATATGGAAATATTTGATTGATCAAGATATAGATACTAGAACTACAAGCACGCCTATCAATTCAATAGGTGTGCTCCCTACCTCCCCTTCTTTGGAAGACATTTTGAACACATTTATAATGATTATGATGATGGAGATAATGCTAATAATAGTAACAATCAAGGTTTCACAAGAATTACCATCTATTTACATATGAATAATGGAATGGACTCGCCTAATCAAGATGCGAACACTGCAAGAAGAGACTCTGATATACAAAATAATGAACGTATGAATGGTGGAAGGGACTTGCCTAATCAAGATACGAATACTGCAAGAAGAGACCCTGGTATACAAAATATTGAATATATCGAGACAACAAAAAATTCAACATTAGAAAAATGTGATAATGTATCAGATAACCAACTTAATGAAAGAAGATTGTGTAAAGTTTGCATGACCGCTGAAGTAGAAGTGGTAACTTTCCCCTGTCATCATATGGTCTGTTGTTCCGATTGTCTCTCGACTCAGGCGCAGTGCCCTGTCTGTAGAGGAATGATTGATCATATCATCAAACCAATTCTGCATATATGACCAAATCAACAATTAGAGAACTCGGTCGCAGTGACCTAGAATTAGCATGATGAGTTATGATACCAATGATAAATAATAATATTTTGTCATTTATTTATTTTATTTGTATATGGTTTCATTAAAATGTTTAAACATCATATATATATATATATATATGTATATATCCTAAAATATAATTCTGCTACAATAGTATAATAATATTTCCATAATATTAACAACCGATGATCTATCAATAATCGCTTTTGCATATCCATCTCTAATATTGATTAATGTCTTGATAAACCCATTGTATTTCCATGATGATTATTTGCGAATCAAGATGATGGAAAGCAAACATCTGGGTAATATTTTTTTTCGAGTTTTTTTTTATTCCTTAATTTTTCCTGATAATAGTAATGATATGCGGTATCTCTCCAAATGACGTAGGGTATAGTGTATTTATCAGCAAGATATTTCCATACGAAACTACAACCATAATCAAGAAATCTAAGAGGTATAACTTCGTCATAATGGTAAAAATCATAAAATTCGTCTTTGAAACCTATCATATTTCCTCCAAAACGGTATAATATTACCAAATGTTTTATGTATTATATTTGGATATGGGTCGTAACCATTCGTATAATATTTATTCCTATTCATCGGTATTGCAGTTCGGTTATTATTACCACCAAACTCATATACTCTTTTCATATTTACTCGCATATATTTTAAAAACATTCTTCTTTCAAATCGGTCCTTAATATCGATATATGCTTTCAGTTGTCTCTCGATCAATATTGGTATGATCGTGTGTGTGGAATCGTTCCAGAGCGCTTCTCTGTTAGCGGAAACGACTCCAAGGCAGAGCTGTTTTAGCGAGGACGGCTGCCGCCGTCTCCAAGACCTTGCCATTTCAGCACTGTCACCTCCTTCTATAGCGTTACACACAAGCATGTTTTCAAAGATAAAGTCACGATCCTCCACCTTCCACGTCTCATCAACCCCCGGAAAATTATAGCAGGAAGAATGGTCGTAATTAGATACGATATGATCGAGGAAGCGCTGAACGCTGTAGGTTAGAGTGATGCTGCTCTGAAAGGGTCCTCCTCCTCTTCTTCTTCCTTCCTTCTTCTTCTCCACCATCACCATCACACTCCTTCCCGTCATAGTCAGAGCTTCGCTTCCGTTGTCAAAATAAATGATCTCCGCATAGAGGGTCTGGAACCGCGATGCGTTCGTAGGAGCATGCAGAAATCGAGCGTGTCTCTCCTGTCGAGAATGTAGTACACCAAATCCACCGATTTCGGGTCGATCGAAAAGTTGCGCAGTTCCTCGTCCGTCCAGAGCGAGCGTTCTTCGTCGGGAAAGGTCAGGGTGACAAACTCGCTTCGATGCTCGGGGATAAACTTGTCAATATTAATTCCATATCGATGTAACATATCGAGCGGATAACTCGTCTGTTCTTCAGGAAAATACAGATACCCATATGTGTGTACACGTAATCCGATTCGGGATTATATTCCGAAACGAGGGTTAACATTGTTCTTCTCGACCACTTTTTGATCCGTTCTATTTATCACTACAACCTCTAATGAGTACACACACATATATATATATATATATATATATATATATATATATATATATATATATGTATGTGTGTATATGTATCTTTGATATACAACGCTTTACTCGCCCCCCTATAGTCATCGTCGTACATAGATTGTGATTTTATTTAAAAAAAAAAAAGATTCGACAAGCCTACAAAAACATTCGGCCCCTGATACAACAAAAAAATAATGGAAAAAGAAATAGAGAGGAGATGGAGGGAAAAACGTCCTATGACGTAACTAATCTGTCGTCAGCAATTGCTCATGTAACAGCGGTTTGTCGTGCTATAGTGTTTTCTTATGGCAAACGTGACGTTATTTTATATTTTATGAAATATGACAAGCTAAAAGTACAAAGAAACTGGAATACCGTGATACGACTGGAGGACCTAAGTCGAATAGTATCATCTAATCAGATAAATAGATTCAGTAACGATAATACTATGATACCAAAAATAATATACAATGAAATGATAAACTATCCAAAAATAAAGAAGATAGAAAATAAAATTGAGAGAAGAACGATCATGAAAAATAAGGTATCCAAAAAACCCAGAAGAAAATCCTTCGAGTTGAAGAGTTTACTTTTTACTCAAAGGACAGTATGTATTCATCATGGTGCTTCCAGATGAGACTCATAGTCCGTACAATTGTAAGGAACAATATAATATATTGATAATAAACATGATAAAACAATGTTAACTTTTCTTTAGTATGTTACACATCAACAGATCCTACAAGTATAATAAACCTAATGAGTAAATATATTAGTTAATTTTTTTTTGTTTTATATAGTTCCTTTTTAAGAAAAAGGATATAAAGAATATAACAATAAAATATGCCTGTTTAAAAAAAACTCTTTCGGTGATAATGGAATAAATAAAAATTATATGTAAACCCTAATAATATTCAGCTCTTAATAATAACAATAATAATCCTGACCGCACATAATTTTAAAAATGTACTATGATGATGATGATGAATTATTCTTCCAGCTCAAGCCCGAGCATTTCAAATCGTTCACTCCCTACTTCAATACTACTTTACTGAATAACTTAAATCACTTATTGGAATATCAGATTTATATTAATAAGAGTACGCCGGATGATATGTGGGACAAAATAGAAGTAGAGGATTTTAAAATTGTTTTAAGTAATGTAGATCGTATCTATATTATGAAATATTATAATATGTTAACAGGTAACGATAAATTGCTTCTTTTCGTACGCATGAAGTACAAGGATAAATATGTCTTTGCCCGTCTGTTTATAAGATGCGAGGAAACTGCTAGTGACGAATGGACAGGAGATGGTGATATTTATTTTACTACAAACGCTGATCTTTTTTATCATAAAATAAGAAGGGAAATATCTATTGAGAGACATGATTTTCGAAAAGCCCTTGAAAGTGACGGTTATATCATCTCTAGGGTAGTAAAGAATAAGTATAACAACGAAGCTTTAAATATGGATTGTGATACCGACGATAATGACACGATATTTAGTGATAGCTATAACAGTGATACCGATGATAGTAATCATTATGACTCGATGACATAGAGTTCTTAGTTGAGCTCTTTATATTATATTCGTAAATGTATAATCATACTAAAATAAAAAAATATATTTTTATTGCAAGATAATTTTGTATTATTATAACTGATCATTGACTGACATTTTTTTATTAGAGACTGTTTTATAAGAACTCTTGACTTGAGATATTTACCCCCATCTTCCTCTTACTCCACTTTTTATTTTTCTAATACTATGTTATTGATGGTGGAATAGACGGGAAATAAACATTAGGGTAATATTTACTCTCAAGCTCTTTTTTCTTCTTTAAACATTCCTGATAAAAATATTCACAATATTTATTTTCTGAAGACATATAAGATTTGGAATATCTATTAGCAAGGTATTTGAACACGAGACCCTTTCATGTGTGTCGGTAGTACAATCAAGACCTTCATGTTCATTCTCATGTTCTATGGCATTATCATTCTCATGTTCTATGGCATCATCATTCTCACCAACATCTTTGACTCCTCGACATCCAAAATATGGTATAATATTAACAAATGTCTTATACATATCTACTTTGCCTATATTCGCTAATAATACTTTTCTTTCGCGTCGATCCTTAATGAAATTATAATCTTGTATTTCTCTGCCGACCAATACCGGTATGTCCGTCTGCGTGGAGTCTTTCCAGAGCGTCTCTCTGTTAGCGGAGACGACTCCCCGACAGAGCTGTTGCAACGACGACAGCTGGCTCCATGATCTCTTAATAGCGTCAATGTTACCGCCTTCTATCGCTCTGCACACTAGTATGTTTTCGTAGATAAAGTCGCGATCCTCCACCTCCCATGTCTCGTTGCGCCAATTGCAAGAATATATATCCTTGTGGTCGTAATTAGACACTATGTGGTCGAGGAATCGCTGAACACTGTAGGTCACTATGATGCTGCTCTGTAGAGCACACATCTTAAACCTCTTCCACCCCCTCAGTTTACTCATCTGTCTTGTCTCGCATGCATTATTAATATAAATGATTTCCACATATAGGGGTCTCGACTTGTAATTCATTCGAAAGAGCATGCAGAAATCATTATTATTACTTAAAACATAATACACGATATTTAGTACTTTGTCGGAGTTGAACAAGAAGTTGCGCAATTCCTCGTCCGTCCAATACAAACGTAGTTCGTCGAGAAAGGTTAGGGTGACAAATTCGCTTCGATGTTCGGAGATTATCTTTTCAAATTTTTTTGAATAGAACTTTCTGTTAGTGGAATACAAGTATTGGAATGTTCTTACATGATCAACTGATTTACAAAAATAACAAGTAATTGATTCAGGCACCATCTTACAAGAGTTGGTTTAACTATATTGATAGTTCAACAGTGAGTCATTTATTATTTATATCGGGATTTATGGGTTGCACGTTGTATTTATATCTTCCGCCACCACCACCATCATCTCCTTCTCTCCACCCCCCCCAATCTTCTCCTCTGTCTCCGGCAGAGATGGAAGAGACGGAAATTGAACATTAGGATAATATTTACTTTCGTGCTCTTTTTTCTTCTGTAAGTGTTCCTGATAAATATGTTCGAAATATTTACTTTTAGAAGGCATATAAGACTTGGAATATCTATTAGCAAGATATTTAAATACGAAACAAAAAGCATTGCGAATAATACCTTCATCAATAAAATATTCTTCATATTCGACTCCTCGACATCCAAAATACGGTATAATGTTAACTAATAACTTAGACTTGAATCCTCTTCCATTTAATAGTAGTTTTCTTTCGCGTCGGTCCTTAATGAAATTATAATCTTGTATTTCTCTGCCGACCAATACCGGTATGTCCGTCTGCGTGGAGTCTTTCCAGAGCGTCTCTCTGTTAGCGGAGACGACTCCCCGACAGAGCTGTTGCAACGACGACAGCTGGCTCCATGATCTCTTAATAGCGTCAATGTTACCGCCTCTATCGCTCTGCACACTAGTATGTTTTCGTAGATAAAGTCGCGATCCTCCACCTCCCATGTCTCGTTGCGCCAATTGCAAGAATATATATCCTTGTGGTTATAATTAGACACTATGTGGTCGAGGAATCGCTGAACACTGTAGGTCACTATGACACTGCTCTTCTGCATCGTCTCGTATATATGTGTTTCTTCAAAGTAAAGAATTTCCACATATAAATGTCTGGATTTGTAATTCATTCGAAAGAGCATACATAAACCATTAATATTACGTGTAACACAATACACGATATCTATTATTATATCGGAGTCGAACAAATTGCGCAATTCCTCGTCCGTCCAATACAAACGTTGTTCGTCGAGAAAGGTTAGGATGATAAACCTGTCTCTATGCTTGGATATTAACTTTATATGAGGTTCGAATATATTCCAATAAAATATCCTATCATCGACATCCCGAAACTGATCTACACATATTAAACGAAATCCTGATTTGAAAAGACTTTTTGATAAAGGTTTCTTGGATAATATTTCATTGGATAAATTTCCATTTTCATTTATATTTATTTTTTTTTTTATAGCGTCTCTTGTTGTTAGTGTTATAGCAATCCGTAGTATAGATTTATATACTAATAAATGTTACACGTGAAACTTCCATTTAATAGTTTTCTTTCGCGTCGGTCTTAGTGAAAATATATTCTTGTATTTCCCTGCGACAAATACCGGTATGTCCATCTGTGTGGAGTCGTTCCAGAGCGTCTCTCTGTTAGCGGAGACGACTCCCCGACAGAGCTGTTGCAACGACGACAGGTGGCTCCATGATCTCTTAATAGCGTCAATGTTACCGCCTTTTATCGCTCTGCACACTAGTATGTGATCGTAATTAGACACTATGTGGTCGAGGAATCGCTGAACACTGTA